TAGCCCACAGTGACTTCCTGCATACAGATAAGATCCATTAGAAAACACAGAGCCGGCCCAAGAATTCAGCCCACACTGGATCAAAAGGGGCATGAGAACTTTAGTGTCCTCATCAAGTGATAGCATCTCTGGAAATTTGGAGAGGACTCTCAGTGCTTCAGAATCCTTCAGGAGAAAAAGAACTGAGAGGAATGTATCAGGCTCTTTATATATATGTCCATCCTGCTACACTAAGTATCAATCTAAAAACCCAAAATAATACATCCTTGAGAAAAAGTAAAGGAAGGAAATACAAACACCTGGCAACACGGGAAAACCAGAACGGCATAAAAGCATATACTGTGCTCAAATTGAATGTTTCTACTTCCAGAGTAACTTTGGCAATCAGCTACTGCACCTGTCAGCAGTTCATGGTGTAGAGAAAGTCTCATTCAGATAAACCTTACGGGCTCTCCTTCCAGAGCTCACTTGACTCTAGTACTAGACAAATGAATCAAGAGTCTATTGAGGATTCACTATTTCAATGCAAATCTGCTCAAGTGAGCTGCAAAATACCTATGTTAACCATTTAAGATTTTTTTATATCACTTTCATTGAATCAAAGCTAGAAAACTGACTTGTTTGAGGAGTTACTTCCTCCAGTTTTGTACAGGCCATTTAAAAAATAAAAGGAAAAAAAAAAAGAAAAAAAAAGAGAAGAATGGCAGAGAATCAGCAAAAGTAGTAATTTCACCAGTGCCACTGCTGCAATGTACCATGCAAATCAGTGATGCTTGGACCATTACTGTTGCTACAAATTTTTTTGGCAGACTATTTTACAATATTTTAAAATGTCTTCCAGAAAGGCCACCCTGAATAAGACCCAAGGCAGACAGATGAATTATAAAGAGCTGTCTACATTTCCATGGTTTTGCTATTTGTATTAGCATCTGGCATTTATGGTAAACATACAGGCTCTTCAAATAGTTGTAAGCAACTAAACTAGGCAATAGGATAAACTTCCAAAAGAAATCACCACAGAATTTCTTAAACAGTACACAAAGTTTCCATCAGTGAGACACAAAATATTTCTCATTTGTTCACAACAGACCTAGAGAAACTCTAACACAGTAATAACAATTCGCTGTATATTTCTGAAGAGCAATAATGTTACAAGAAAACACTTTGACAATGAATTTTAAAAGCCAAATCAAGACTGAGCAGCACACTAACTGATTGAGAATTCTTTTTGGTTCTGCAAACACTTGGACTTTGGTCATTTTTGGTCAGCAAACAGTTTGACAAGTCAAAATATTTGTTAAGCCCCACAGTGCATCCCAAATTTACATCTCATTTATGACCTCCAACACCTTAGCACCCTTCTTCCTAAGGGTTTCAATAAAAAAATGGAATAATGGATAGATTATAATACAAGAAATCAGATGACACACCACACAACTGTAAAGAGCATAAACAGACACACTGGACAGCGGTTGAGGTCAGAAATCAAATTTTTATATAGATAAGAGCACCGTATTTAAACAGAAACCACGGTGCAAGAAAATGAGATGTTATACCATAGCACAGGTGGGTAGCTGAGAGACATCATAGAATGGATGGGCAATTCCTCTTCAAGCACTGATGTGAAGTTCAGTGCTCCCAACAAAAGAACTTCAGTAGCAAAATATGACCTGTTTAGTTGATGAATTTTCTCTGCTCTTTGGGTAAACTAGAATGCTAATGGAGATCCTCACCCAGATAAAAGCACACTCTAAAGTAGTCTTTACAACAGAGATGAGATATAAAGTGGAAATTCTTGCAAATTAATAGGCACAACTTCTTTCTAGAAGTGATACACTGAACTAAAAATGTTGTATTGATAACACAAAATTACATTTGGATAAGTACATTGGGTGACCTTGAATGTATACCAAAAAAAGCCCCAAACAAATCTGGAGAAAGTCAAAACACCAAAAATGAAACGAAGAATTACAGCAAGGGACACTAGAGGGTCCAAAGGATGAGTTTAAAAAATGGCAATACATTTGCACATGTAAGGAAACCACATGGTTAAAGCAGCAAAATGGGAAAATTACCATCTCCTGAGATCTTGCAGAGAAAAATAAAGGATGCCAGAAGAGTCTCCGTCATTATTGTAGAGATTAAAGAAAATTTACCAAAGCAATGTTAGAGTTCTTTGTCATCATAGAGACTGAAGGCAACACAGCCTCAGAACTGAGATAGGACTATAGGGCTTTTTAATATAAAATACAGTTCTCTATAGATACAGACGATGCAAAGAAAACAATTATTGCACAACTTATCTTCAGTAAAAATGTCTAACTCCTCATTTACATACTGTAAGACATCATATACCCACACAGCAGCATAATGATAGCTGTCTTATAATCTGAACTTCTATAGGTAAGCATAGTTTACAAAGTCAACCACCATTTTTCAACCATCCATATTTCAAAAGTTCACTGGGATGCTGATCCTCAGTCTTGCTGGAAGGCTCCTCTTTAGGCACCTGCCAATGCCCAAGACATTTCCACATTTCACATCTCATGAAATCTGAGGGAGCTGATTCATGACCAGGTGTTATGCATTTGTTTCTGTAACAAAACTGTCCATCTAATGATGCTTCAAGTGACAATGCAGCAAGTATCTATACCTTGGTCCAGTCTTTAAAAACTGATATTCTTCCTTTTGAGAGGCCACATCTTTGCAATGGATTCTGCAGGCTAGTAACAAGCAGCCAAACTTTCCAGTAAAGATAATAGCAAACACATGTTTCTCTAAGTATCACCAAACTGTAAACTTTTTCCCTGGTTTTCAGTTCTGGACTCTAAATAAAATTATGGGTATAGTCAAAAAATTCTGTAAATGTAATTTTCAAACAATAAGTAGCACAACAAAGCTAAAATAAAGATTTTTTTTTTAATTAGGACTGATTTGACAGCTTCTAGTATACAACTTCTGAAAGTAAAAGCTAGAGTTCTATTTCTAAACGATTTTTAGTTCCACTTCTGACAATACAGTGTACCTGAAAACACCTATATAAAATAGTTAGAATTTAATCTATTTGTAGTTTACTGTAAATATTTTCTGATATTGAAACCTAAAAGCAGATTGCTGAGGCTGGCATTGTCTTGAGTGCACAGATTTTGAAATAAGCTGTTAGCCTCAGTGGCTTGAGCTGTGAGGAAGGCCTTGGCAAGAAGCCACATCCTCTCTCTAGAACTGCTGTGAAAGTGAATACTTCTATCAAGCAAAAAGTATCTCAGATCTGAGGTTTTCATACTTCTCAGTCTCAATTGCTTGTCATCTCAAAATCATTTCCTCATCTCACTTTCACATCCCTTGACTGTGGAAAGCTTACTGGCTGCTGGGAGCACTCTGCTCCTCCAGCTGTTCCTTTATTTGCACAGGAGTTACCATCCCTCACCTCTCTCTGCAGTTGCAACTGTGAAAACAGCATCAGCTTCATGCTGTAATTGCTATGGTTGTCTAAGGGATTCTAACTAGGAGTGTTGTGTATTAACAAATTTAAGAGGTTATATGTCAGTAGAGTGCCTAACGCATTACCCATACTGCTTCATCCCCTCAAGGACATCTTTCAATATAAAGAGAGAAAATTTTACTCAGACTACAAATAAAAACCCATGGAATGCTTTCTTTATTCAGTCAGAGATCCAGTTTACCAAAATATTTATTTTTCAGATATTGACAAACGTGTAAAGTTATATTTAAAATATTAACTACCATATTCAAAATTACAGCAGGGATGTATGTTTTTAAGGCATTAAAATTGAAAATCTGTATTTAGCATACTTAATACTGGGTGATCATCATAGCATGTCCAGTCCAAGCAAAAACTGCAATTAACATAGACTAACAGCATAGGTCAGCAATTGAAAAAAGGATTTTTAAATAAAATTTTTAAAAAATCACTTTTAGAAACATTGCAATATTATCTCTAAACTCTTTTAAGATTAAGTATATTTGAAATCTTTCCCTCTTAATCAATCATGTGGTAGGTAAACTAACCCTATATGGTTCAGCCTTTAATAAACATTGTTCACACCGTTATTGCTATATTCAAAGAGGGACAACAGGTATTATTTCTGTGTCATCACCACATTTTATCACTGGAGCTCTGTGCACACCAAGCTCAAATCCAAAGAAGCTACGACACATAAACACAGTGCGTGGTAAAAAAAACCTCCTTTCCCCAGTACAGTGCGCATGGCTGCATAGTGACTCCAGAAGTACAGACACTTCTCTCCCCTCTTTAGCGATGCTGAGAAATGCCAATGGACATAAACTGTCCACACACAGCGGTCTGTGAGCAGTCAGATTTGTCAAGGGGTTCTTTATTGGTGAGCTGGGGGATCACTGCCTCAAAAAACCCTCCTGCTTGCATTTTTCTGCGACTTTTCCTCCTTGCCTCGACAGTCACAGAAACCATCAGCTTAGGTGCTCCAGCTACAACAGATCTAATAATTTTGACCTAACCAGGTCAGTCTGAGGAGATATTCCACATCCCAGTTTGAATATGAGAATGTGTGAGATTGGGGCATCCCGGTTCCACCTCATCTCCCGGTGGAAGAAGTCTCGGGGTACCCACCGATGCCGAGGCCTGCCCGGCGCTCATCTCATCCCTTCTAGGGAGCTTTCGAGGGGGGACCCGCCGCCTAGGCCCGATAACTTTCTCCTCCACGTGAACTGGCTGGATAGGGAACGGCGGGATCGCGAGGGGCACATCCCGGCCGTCCACCCCCGCGTCCCCTCCCCAGCCCCCGCGGCGCGGGGGAACCAGAGGGGCCGGCAGGACGGGAGGGAAGGGAAGGGAAGGGCAACAGAGGCAGGAGAAGGCGCAGCATCCCAGCGCTTTCCCTGGCGGCTGCCCCGCACCGCGGGGAGAGCCCTTCCTTCCCTCCTCTGGCTCCGGCGGCCGCTGGAGCCCCCGCCCCTTCCCCGCAGAGCTACTGCCTCGCTCCCGCAGCAGCGCCGCTCACCTCTCTTGGAGCCGGGGCTGGGGCTGCCGCCGGTGGCTCTGGAGCTCTTGCGGGAAGCCATCGCACCTCCCGTCGGGCAGCGCAGGGGGCGGAGCGGGAGCGCGTTCGGGAGCCGCCGCCGCCACCCGAGCCCTGCGTGCAGCGGGAGCGCGCTTCGGCCCCGGCAGCGCGACCCCGAGCGCTCCGCGGCCCCGCCCCCGCGCCCGCCGACAGCCAATCGCGCCGGCGAGGCGCGGCGCCGCTCGCCACCGATTGGCGACGGCGCAGCGAGGGGGCGGGGCGGCGGCCGGCCGGTCGCGCGCGCCCGCCGCGCTCCCCCGCCGCCGGCCCATTCTAACGTGGCACGGGCGGGCGCGCGCGGCGGCCTCTCGCGAGGGTTGGGGCGCGCGCGCGGCGCTGAGGGAGGGAGCGGGGGAGGCGGCGGGGGAGAGGCGGCAGGGGTGTGTTCATGAGGCAACTCCGCGTTTGTATGGCAACTCCGCCTAAAACATCCCGCCCTGAGCCTTAAACCGCGCTCCGCATCCAGCTGAACGCCCGGGTTGTCGAAACACCGTTGATGTGTATAAATGTCCAACGGTCTAAGACGATGGAGCTCGGCTCTTTTCGGCGGTGCTGAATAATAGGACAAGAGGCAATGGGCAGAAACTGATGCACAGGAAGTTCCACCTGAACTTCTTTATTGTGTGGGTGACAAGCGCTGGAGCAGATTACCCAGAGAGGATGTGGAGTCTCTGTAGCTGGAGCTATTCCAGAACCGTCTGGGCACAATCCCGCGCCGTGTTCTCTGGGCTGACCTTGCTTGAGCAGGAGGTTGGACCAGATAACCCCTCTGGTCCCTTCCAACCCGACCCATTCTGTGACAGGTTCCACGGGACGGCATGTCAAACCTTCCAGAGAGCGTCTTTGCAACCAAGAGAGTGAAAGGATATTAAGTTCGTCGCGTCAGACTGATGGCTTCCCCATCGAGGCGTTTTGAGGCTTTAAAAATTTTGATTTACTCTGATAAAACAAACCTGGGGTTTTGCAGGAGTTCTGGATGCCTCTTGGTAGTGATATTCAGTTTGAGACTGGGTTAAATACCAGTTTGGCATGACACTAAAAGTCAAAAAGTCAAAAAAAAAAAAAAAAAAAAAAAAAAAAAAAAAAAAGCAAAATCCAGCTTTGAGTCCTGACCATAAATACAGTGTTTTTAGTCAAAACAAACAATTTTGCAAATTCGAGAGCTTTGCAAGTAGAGATGTGAAGAAAACCTTTCTCAAATCAAAGATTAGCACTGTGTTTTGAATAGTAATGCCACAAAGCTAACCAGAAACAGTAATTTACTGGAGAGCATTAATCAGTATTTTTTAAATGGGATTTACACTTAAATGCTGAGTCAAGTAACAGCCTATCAGTACAGACAGTAGAAGTAAAAGCAACTAGTTTGGGGAACATCAAAAATAGTGATGCCTACTTCTTGGTATATCTCATGTGAGTTAATTTGTTTCTAGTGCAGTTGAATATCTGAGCTTTTCACTTGGTTATGGCACTCTACCAGAGTCTTATTTTCACATGATATGTTAGTATTTAATATATTTTGAGATGCTTCCCTTTTGTTTGGTAAGACTAAAGCTGCTGGACAAGTTTAAAAGCTGCTAGTGAGGAGTAGGGGTACTCATGACTATGTAGAATTCATCAGAGAAAAGCTAACAGGATGAATTATTAGCATTTCAGCAAATTGGAAAGTACAATGCAAGGAATAAATTGTCCTAAGAAAAGCACAAAAAAAATTGTAATCTGGTCTTGAGATTACTGAAAATAAAGTATGTGACTGTACATATAAAAAATGTACAGTATAAAATACAGGATGTGTGACTAAATTCTTGCAAGTAGCACTTACTGTCAATTGAGACAACAGCTGTTTGTGGTTAATGTGGGACACAGTTTCCTGAAGATACACTACGGGAAATGGCACTCTGGTAAAAACAGAAATGCTGAGAACATTGATGCTACTGGACAGGCAGGGACACTTAGAAGGATACTGCTATTGTTTTACTGTTGATGCCTTGTGAAGGCTGACCTAGAAGAGTGACTAGACAGAGCTAAAGTAGTTATTTATGAAGAGGCCTCAAATAGATCCACCTTGGGCAGCAGAACCCAAAATGGCCACAAAACTGGACAGCAGGTTGTGGGGTCTCACACTTTTATAAGTTCTGGTCCATTAGCATATTGGAGCTAATTGTCGAATTACAGCTTTAGCCCAGGAAGTCCCATCCTTCTTGTTTTCTCTCTTCAGTCCACTGTTGTTTATGCTCTTGGGCCTGAGATCTGGATTGGCTGTCCTTGGGTCCCCAGATAGAGAAGATACTGTTTTGTCTTCCTATTCTGTGGAGAGAGCTTACTATCCCTAATATGAAGCCTAGACTTACACACTAAAGCAGAATAGAATCTGAAAAATATAAAAGCTAATACCTGAGGCATCACTGTGAATGAATCATTTGGCTTTAAATGGACTGTGAAATTCCTTACTTCTGTTTACTTAGGCACACACCTGCCAGCACTTTGTAGTTGGTGTATTTTAGTACCTGTTTGTACACTCTTCTGCCCAAGAAGTCTCCCTTGCAAGATTAAAATATACTCCCAGAAGTACAAATACTCATACAATATTGTATGTTTATGCTGATCACCATCCTTCTGCATGATCTTGTCGTTTGGAAGTTTCTGTTGATCTCTTACAGCATCAGAACTTTCCTCCCAGTCACAGGCAGCTGTAAACTGAAGAGGAATGTTAGATAAGAGGGACGGTTGTCTTCTACTGATCAGAGACCATTTTTCTTTTATTTCTGCCTGATATCTCTGATCATACATTTAAATCTGATCATGACATATGGTTTTGGATGAAGCAGACATGCAGCTTAATTTGCAGAAAGCAGCAGGCCGGATTTTCCTACTGGGATCACCTGATCACAATTCATGTACAGGCTATGGGATCTGTTTTTTGCTATTGAAGAAGCTTAGGACAGCTTGATATCCGTTCTTTTAGAGAAAGGAACACCTAATTTGAATTACATTTGCCAGGGTGACTGTTGCTACAAATGGCATGACAATGCCTTCATCTGAAATGTAATGTAAATTGAAATGAATATTTAAAATGTAATTTCTGGGAAAGATGACAAAGAGAAAAGCTGACAGTATGGTTAGGTGTAAGTGCATGTGAATGGCTCACTTTTTAACCATATTTAGTTAACTAGTTGTTTTAGAGCTACACGTTTGGTACATTGTAAGGGTGTGCAGGAAACCACAAAGGGATAAAGATCAGCTTTGTAGGAGGAAAAGAAACAGGGCAGGAAGAGAATGTAACAACTAGTTGGTAAGGCAACCAGAAATTAAAGCCATATAAACAGGAGTTATAAATAAAGGCAAGGGCTATGAGACAGACCACAAAGCGATCAGTTGGAGCCTTTCTGCTTGTATCAGGCTTTTAAAAAAAGAAAATAAAAAAATCCTTTCTCTTGTCAAGAATCATATTTACCCTCAAGCACAGTGACTCTACTGTTTGACAGAAAGAAATATGTCCAAGGTGATAAGCAGAAGCAACAATGAAATAATTACAGAAGATAATTCAGTGTCCAATCTTCTAATTTCTAAAAGAACTGCAAATATATGATCTGCCTATAACAGTTAAATGGGATTCTGAGTGAAAAGTATTATTCCAAAAGAATGAGTGACATCTCCTTAAAGGAACCATTAAATTAGGCCGATATTTTTCACTTCCTGTATCATAGCTGAATAAGACATTTTAAATTCCCCTTCACCTGTGCCAAAATCAGAGCTATAGTTTTCTGAGTTTATTTCCATTCACAATTTTTCTCTGAATTTGTCATGAAGGCATCTGTTATACTGCTAATAGGTTGTGACATTTCTTGTATTAAAAAGTATAATAATTGAAGGCTTAAAGGGTTTATCCTTATTCTGTTGTGTCGCTGTTATTCATGTTGATCATTGTGACATAGAGCTTTCCATTTAGCTATATATTTCTCATTATTAAATGAGTTTCAATTGATTATTAAGCAAAAGTCCATTCTCCAATAACAGAGGAAAAAATATTTTATGTCTTAATACACTTAATTGAAAAGACATAGACAATTCTCAGGATGGCAATAAAAATGCCATGTTAAAAACTCCAAGAACATGTAAGATTTTTGATTGAAAACTTAGGCATTTAAGATTTTAAATTTTTTATTGCTTAGATAATATTTTTTTTCTTGTGCATGGTGAGTGAACTATGCACCTTGCTAGCTAGTTTGAAAAGGTGCTCCCACAAGAAGACTGTGTTTGAAAAGGTGCCTTGGGTAAATACAGGGCAAAGAGGGTAATGAAGAGGTTTTACAGTTTGTTTTCTGGATTGTCAAGTTGACACTTGAACTTCTGATCATTTTTCTGGTTACAGGCAGTTCAAAGAATCAGCCTCCAGACATTTGCATTTATCAGCCAAATTTCATTAATCGCTTGTGGAGAAACAGATCAGATGTTTTTGGAAGAGGAGAGAAGAGAAGGTGAAGAGTGTCTCACTTATCCAAACATAAACAACTGCATTGTCTATGTTGGTGTTCCACTTTTAACTAGTTGAATCTGCAGTAAAGTAAGGTGTAGTTGAGATATTTATTCTTAATGAGGAAATGTCTCTTTTATTTATTTTTTAATTTATTTGTTCTAACAGTGCTTCTATGGCATTGAATACCTGTTATTATAATTGTGTATTCTTATATAATCTTAGAACAATTTCTAAATAGTTGGTGCTACTGATAAATAGAAGGCAGCCATTTGTTTGAGAGGCATTCAGAAGGATGTAATTATCCAGAATATCCAGACACAAAGAACTTCACCTAGGTGAAGCAGGTTCAGGCATAGCTAAAGCTGAAGTAAAGTTTGGTTTTAAATTGCAAAGGTAAAATGTAGGTCAAAAGCTTGTTCCCGTTGCTCTCAGCTGATTTAATCAACCTCACTGAGGAGTAACTCAAATAGCATTTGGCCTTTGGATCAGTGGTGTGGCCTAGTAGTCTGGGATTTGTTACTGCATTGCTTGGATTCTGGAGGTCTTAGTGCAGGTTTTGCCAGGTCTGATTCAGGTAAATTGATCCCTGTGAGGATCAATAATCAAAGCTGAGAATGCAGCAAACTTCTCAGAGCAAGATTTTTCATCTGGTGATTAGATTTTGCATAAACTGTTAAGATATTTAGAATTTAAGTGATTCCTTTTG